AACAAGGTGAAGAGAGGATGCACACTCATAAGCTCTGAAGCTACATTTTTACCTACATGTTCTTATATCTATGAACGTATATAATCTCACACACAAAACGAAAGGGTAAAAGCCGATATGGAAGGAGATGCACCAATATATCCTTTATCAATGTAGGTATTGTTTCTGACCCAGTTTGCAGGTGCACAGATGTGAATAACAAGAGGGTAAGGAACTGGTTTTTTCTATTCTCCACAACTGTGTGAGGTATAGTAAAGGGAATCAATAAATGCTTTAAATGATAAATTCATGAATAAGTGAATCAAGAAGCATGACTCTGAAGGATAGACTTTTGTGAAAATAAGACCTAGCCTGGTGGTGTGACTCAGCTGGTTGGAGAATCATCCCATACACCAAAGGTGGTGGGTTTGATTCCTGTTCAGGACACATACTAAGGTTGTGGTTCGATCCCTGATGGAATGCCTGTGGGGTGGGGGAATGGATGAGTGGGGAGCCAATCAATGCTTTCTCTTATGTTAATGTTTCTCTCTCTCTTCCCCCTCTCTTTCTGTTTTTAGAATCAACAATAAAAAACAAACAAAAAATAAGATTTAGGGTTATGATGATTAAGCTTCTGAGCAAGGAATGGCAGGATGGCCAGGAGACTACAGGCTAACCTGGTGAGAAAGAAAGCGAATATTATGTCTTCTCCTTATGATCATCAGTTGCAAGAAATGGGAATGTGGGTATTTGGTGGAGGTTGGTGGAATAGGGTAGAGTAAGAAGGTTCCACATTGAGGAAATGGCTGCTGGATGGCTGGATATAATCCCATGTAGCACTTAAGAGTTAGGAGGTCAAATGAGGGGTTGGGATCCAGTCTTATTTTTGAATTCAGCAGAGCATGGGCAATGTATATATTGAATATACATTGGAATATATATTGGAAATGAATATATATTGGAAAAATAGGTCAGCATGCATTATAGAATGATTAGTGGTGGTTTCTTTATAAATGTTAGCCGACTGGAAATGATTTTCTCTCAGAGAGGAAGGAAGCACCAATTTTCAAGCCCTCCTAGAAAATCCATAGAAATAAATGGAATGAGTTGATTTTCTTGGGATGTAGCTATATATTTTTTAAAATGTTTCTGCCATTTGAAGCCCCAAGAGTGACCAAAACACCAGACAAGAGCCTGGTCATCAATCTACTGAATTTCTGAAGAAGGTCATCAGGAGGATGACAGATTCCCTTTTTATGTCTTGACTTGTCACTGTGCTTTTATTTTCACTTTGTCCTTGCTATTCACCCCATCTAGAATAAAAATTTCTGCCTTCTTTGGCTAAAGAATCATTCTATGAGTCTTAGCATTATCCTAACCTCTTCCCTGGAATTTTTCTCACGTCCTCACCTACAACATTCCGCACATACCTCTACATAGCACTTGAAATACAATTTTCAAATTTCATCTTTAGAATTTTATCTTTCTTACTGCTCAGTCATATCCTTGAGGATATGTGACAAGTTTACTCAAAATTATATTTAAATTGCCAATCCAATGCTGATACATAGAGGGATCACCTCTCCACTTAACTTATGTATTCTCCTCTAATGAAAGGCAGAATACTATCTCCAACATTTTTACGTTACAAAATTAAGAACTTCAACTGTCTCCACTCCAACCCTAGCAGTCCAATTTTACCTCCCCCCTCCACAAACACACAGGCATATACATAATAGATATTTCCTGAGAATTTTCTAAATTGTAAAATTATCTCTCATTTTTGCTACTCTTCATAGGTTTCCAATAGGCACAGTTAGAAAGGCATTTGCCTTGGCATGAGTTTAAAGTAGGATATACTTACTTTCAGATGCCTCCCATACATGCCCCATCTCTGATGGGAGGCTCTGAACTCCGACTTCCCCCAACATCCAAGTATTGCTAAATTTGAATCAAAGCTTTCTGCCCAATTGTACACATCACAAACACTTCCACATCTTCTTTTATGACTAGTTTTTATCAAATAAATTATACAGCAATGAACTTCTCCCTGTTTGCTTCAAATGTTTAATTTTCTATAAGTAAGCTCAGAATTTCCACATATTATGGATGAGTACTATAATACCAAATCACTTGATAATTCCTCCTTCTATGTTACTATGAGGAAGACATCCATAAAGATATGATAGTTAAAATAGAATCTCAGTGGGAACTAAATTTTAGAATATCCTAAATGCTTTTGCCCTCTCTCCATGAAGAAAAGGTAGAGACATATTTGGATGTTGCTTAGCCCAGAATATTTAGTCTTCCTCCCCCAGCTGACTTATATCTAGACAGTTTTTTTACAGGATGTGATTAGTTATACTCTACATTATAGGCTCATCTAGATTAAAATAATCTCCCATTTCATGTTTCATCATAACTGAAAAATATTCTTTGTCAAGCATCTCCTCTTGTTATTATTCGATTTCTAAATCTGATCGGTGATATTTTTTTTCCAGAAACAAATTATGATATGAACTAAGTTCATTATTTTATAAAATATGACATTGAAGTTGCTTGCTGTCACATCCTTTCTTAATCAATTCATCTATTTTTGAACTTTTAAAATCGAGAACTTTTATGTGGCAGAACTTTTTTCAGGCATATGAATAAACAAAGATAAATGGCTTATTACTATCTAAGAATAAGACCATCCAGTATCTACAACACACATAAAATGCATAAATACATACGCACATGCACATAGTAATATGCATTTCACATTTTGGGGGTTTTAGGTTCCATAATAGAGGGATAATTCAGATTACTAATACCAAAGGAATCTTCATGCACATTAAGCAAAAATATGTGGAATACTCTCAGATACATAGACTGTGAAATTTATTCTTTCCATTTTTTTTCTGCCTATCTTTCAGAGTTAAAATTTTCCATTATGCAGAGGATATTCTTTGGTCTTCTCTTCTTTATAGAAGACTTTTTTTTTTTTTAATTAGGGAAAGTGGTAGCAAAGCAGGCTGGCTTTATTCCTGGTACCATTTGATGCTCAGAGGAAGCTAGCAGAACATTAGGAGTCTATTTAATCCCATCCTTTAAAAAAAACTTTAAAAAATCCTCATCTGAGGATATGTTTATTGATTTTGGAGAGAAAGGAAGAAAGGAAGAGAGGGAGGAAGGGAAGGGGAAAGAGAGAGGGAGAGAGAAAAAGAGAGAGAGAGAGAGAGAGAGACAATCATGGATCGATTGCCTCCCATACATGCCCCAGGGACTGAACCTGCAACCTAGGCATGTGTCCTGACCTGCAACCTTTCTGGTGCATGGAAAATTCTCCAACAAACTTAGCCACCCAACCAGGGCTCCTTCCCTTTTCTGAAGAATGGAGATATAACTGACCCATAACAGTATGTAAGTTCAAGGTGTAGAACATATTGATTTGATAACTTTCTACATTGCAATATGATTGCTACCATAGTTTTAGCGATTATTTCTATCACATCACATAATTGTCATTTCTTTTTTTTGTGATCAGAACATATAAGAGTTAGTCCCTCAACAATTTTGAAGTATATAACAGTGTCGTTGATGAAAATCTTTATTTAATGTCATTTTTGAATAGGAACATAAAGAGATTAAACTGTTCTTTGTGTGTGTGTGTGTGTGTGTGTGTGTGTGTATCTTTTCAGGAATCTAGGCATATGGATGAGGAGCAGGAATCACTAATGGAGAGTCCATAATTGTCTCTGATATGCACAGCAGCTAACAGTGGCAGGAAGGATGTCTATGCCTAATGACACCCGGTTCCATCCTTCCTCATTCCTTCTGCTGGGCATCCCAGGGCTAGAGGACATGCATGTCTGGATTGGATTCCCCTTTCTCTTTGTGTATCTTGTTGCCCTCCTGGGGAATGCTGCTGTCCTGTTCGTGATCCGGACTGAGCATAGCCTCCATGAGCCCATGTACTACTTCCTGGCCATGTTGGACACCATCGACCTGGGCCTGTCCACAGCCACCATCCCCAAAATGCTGGGCATTTTCTGGTTCAACCTCAGGAGCATATCTTTTGAAGGCTGACTTTCCCAGATGTTTTTCAATACCTACTGTGAGCACATGGGTATTGCCCGGCTGGCCTGTGCCAGCATCAAACCGAATATACTATTTGGCCTTGGTTACATTTCTATCTTATTATTGGATGTGCTCCTAATTATTCTCTCTTATGCCAGGATCCTCTATGCAGTCTTTTGCCTGCCTTCCTGAGAGGCTCGACTCAAAGCCCTCAACACCTGTGGATCCCATATTGGTGTTATCTTAGCCTTTTTCACTCCTGCCTTTTTCTCTTTCTTGACACACCGTTTTGGCCACAATGTTCCCCAATATGTCCATATTCTCTTAGCCAATCTATACGTGGTAGTTCCTCCAGCCCTCAATCCTGTAATCTATGGGGTCCGGACCAAGCAGATTAGGGAGTGAGTGCTGAGAATTTTGTTCAAGAAAGATATACAAACAGTCAGAGATCTTGAAAGATTTAAATAGAATTCATGTTTTGTGCACTGTAAAATTAGATTGTCTTAAATCTAACCAATTAGAAAAAAGGAAGACAAAGAAAAATATTGAGACCAATAACATTAATTATCTTTGAATTGCAGGTTTTATGTTTAATGTTAATAATATGTACATTAATGATAATATTGAATTGGAACAATTTAGTGTCTTTATGCAAAAAGATGAATTTAGACCCTTATTTTCCACCATAGAGAAAATTAACCTACAATCAATCAGAGAACTAAAGACAAGAGCCTTGGTACAAGATTATATAGATAAGACAATGGCAAAAATATTATTAAATGATTAATTGTACTTCACTAAAATTAAAGTATATTTTCTTTCAAAGATACTAATAATAAAATGAAAAAGCAAGCCACAGTCTGTGAGAAAATATTTTTATATCATATGTATGATACATGATTTGTATCAAAATATATAAAGAACTCATAATTTAATTATAAACTTAGCCAAATTACCCAATTAAAAAATAGACAATAAGTCAGTTGGAGAAAGATAAATATCACATGATCTCACTTACTTGTGGAATATAATGGAACAACATAAATTGATGAACAAAAACAGATCCAGAGACAGAGAAGCATCAATCAGAGGGAAAGCAGGGGAGGTGGGGGGGGAGGGGGGAGAGATCAACCAAAGGACTTGTATGCATGTATATAAGCATAACCAATGGACACAGACACTAGGGGGGGAGGGGCAATGGGGGGATAAGGGCACATATGTAACCTTAATCAATAAAGAAAACAAAAAATAGACAAAATATTATATATGCATTTTTTAAAACACAAACAATTAGTCAATAAGTACATAAAATGCTCTTTATAATTAATCACTAAACATGTGCATATTAAAGTCACAGTATGGAACAAGCATCAGCTCTCTGTGCAATTATAACTTCTGTAAAAGTTTACATCTCTAGAGTACTTTTGAATGAATCTATATAACATCTCCATCTCAGAGTCTTCTAGAGAACCAAGGTGAAGATGGTATTCTTTTCTGTATGGCGTATTTTCAACATTTTTTGTGTCATGCTTTATGGTTTTGTTATGAGATTTTTCAAAGCTAATGTGTCTTATTTAGCTTGAAGCTTTTATTTACTTTTGTCTTTGATTTTATATATATAAAAGCCTAAGTGATCGAACAACCAAAAGACCAGTCAACCAGTTGCTATGACAGGTACTGACCACCAGGGGACAGACGTTGAAAGCACAGGATCAGGCTCCCTCCTGTCTGGACCAGGCCTGCAGGGATCGGGTCAAAACTGGCTGTCTGACATCCCCCGAGGGGTCCCAGATTGTGAGAGGCCACAGGCCAGGCCGAGGACCCCCTCAGGGGCCTCTAGTCTATCTATCTATCTATATATATAAAGAGCCAGGGGCCAGTACATCTGAAACAACTGAACGGATGACTGAACAGGCTGAGTGGGGCAACAAGGCCGGCAGGGGGTTTAGTGAGGGACAACCAAATGACTGAGCAGCAGGCTGTGTGGGGCGACCAGGCCGTCAGGAGGGTTAGTGAGGGACGACCAAACGACTGAACAGCAGGCTGCGTGGGGCGACCAGGCTGGCAGAGGGGGGAAGTTGGGGTTGAGCAGGCTGGCAGAGGGGTGCAGTTGGGGTGATCAGGCCAATAGGGGTGACAGTTGGGGGCAACCAGGCCAGCAGGGGGGGCAGTTGGTGGCGATCAGGCAGGCAAAGTAGGTGAGTGGTTAGGAACCAGCTATCCCAGATTACGAAAGGGATGTCCGACTGCCGGCAGTCACTCCTAACTGCCCCCCACTGCCAGCCTGCAGTCAGGGGGCAGTCGGACATTCCCTGAGGGGTCCCAGATTGAAGATGGTGCAGGCCAGGCTGAGGGACACCCCCCCCCCCATGAATTTCATGCACCGAGCCACTAGTACATCAATAAAAGAAACCATTTGACACTTCTAACATTCTGCGTGGAAATCACTTTAGCTAAATCCAGTTCATTATAAGTGTTTTCTATTTTCCATGTTACTGAAGGCAACAGTTTGGCCAAACTTGATATCTCGATGTAAAAACTATCCCCTTTACTTAAGCTATTAATTCCACCTTTCTCATTTTTCTTCTGCCCTCACCTTCATTTTCCTCGAGGTCCATCAGTTTTTCTTTCTATGCATGGCTTTCAAACAAATAACACATGTTTTGGGTTCATTAAAATGGAACCTAATTTAAGGTAGAAAGTTTCCTCTTGGTTTTCTATTCTTGCGTATAAGAAATTCCAAAATTAAACAGTGTATAAAACAACAAATCAAATATTTTATTATGTTTACAGAATCTATAAGTCAGGAATTCAGAAAAAGCACACCAAGGAAGACTCATTTTTTCTACAAAACATAGCATCTCAGTTGGGGTAGCTCTAATGGATGAAATCAGTTTAAATAATTTAGAGATTGCAATATGTGGGGTAGGTGATCCAAAGCTAGTTTCTTATATGTCTGGGCCTAGGCTCAGCTAAGACTCTTATCTGGAGCTAAACTTTGCAAGATTCCTTGAGTCTGAGTGGTTTCTCTCTGTCCTGGTAATTAGCCTCTTTCCTTGCTCATATAATCATTAAACAACTGGTGGGGTAATCATGAGTAAGAAGTTAGCTCACCTTATTGAGCTTTCCTTTCTCTAAAATCTTGGGTTATCACATCACATTTTTGTTGCTTTATCTGGTCTTTCACCTAAATAGTTCATGAGGAGTGGGGCAAAGGAATAATAGGCATAACAGATTTAGGCTATGACAGAGATGATGTAGAACAAAGAGGGAAGACTGATGGGACATATCATTGAAGAAGTCTGATAATCATTTAAATCAGGAATTTAAATGTTAATCAGGAATTTAGGTTTTTAAGTAGGAAAGCAGAAAAGCTACATTGTCATTGGAAAAAATAGAGAGCTGGTGACTCTTGCCCCATAGTGCCAGTGTAGGGAGGAAGAACTCTCCAGTGAATATTACTTAGTCTCTGTCAAAAACCCAGGGAGACTACAGTCCCCATCCAACTGGACGAAGGGCCACTGCACCAATATAAATGCCTGTTCCTTGCCAGCAAGGTGTGGACCCAGAGAGAGGTCAGATTATATTTTCAAGCTCAGTCCTCTCAGAGACATTTGGAAAGCAAGGTAAGACTGTTATTCATAGTTAGGGTTGTGGAAAATTGGGAATGAGTTCATGCTAAGTTAGAATAGAGTGAGGAAAAAAAAAAAGTGTGTAACACAGCATTGGAAAAAGGATAAAAAGAATACACAGACAAGCTTTGGGCATTACAAATTTTATACCATAAATTTTCACGGCAACATATATTCACATCCATAGTCCCACACATACAACAGCAGGTGAGATACAGAAGAAAACTCTATATCAGTTCACTTTTTTTTTTCAACTTTATGCTAGGTACAACATCAAAAGACCAAGGACTATGCTTTCCTGGCACCTAGCACATTTTCAGGCCTACTAAATGAGATAAGCAGGTATGTTTTGAGCAGAGAAATTGACTGAATAAATTATGAAACATAACTGTGACTACTAATAAAGTTTTTTATATTTTGTTTTGTTTTATTTTATTAGGACTCAAGACCAAGGTAAAAATTTAACTGAGAAATAAGATAACACGTAACTAGTGCAGGTCATTTCCTAGTAGCATACCACTATGCCATGGGACTGTGAATTAGGCAGCGACAAGATGAAAGGTGGAGGACAGGGTTTTCAATCTTGGTATTACTTACATTGTGGGTCAGATTTTTCTTTGTGTTGTTGGTTTTTGTGTGTGTGTGTGTGTGTGTGAGGGGGGGGGGGGGACCTGTGCATTGTAGGATGTTTAGCAATATCCCTGGCATCTAGACATCAGTAACACTTCCTTCAAGTTGTGATAATAAAATCATGCTTCCTGACATTGCTAAATGTACCCAAGGGGAAAACAATCAATGCTGATGCAAACTGCTGGTATACAGAATCCCTTCTTGTTGTCTGTATCAGGTAGAGGACTTGAAATGGTGTTAATGTACACTGGGGTAGCTGAGGTGGAGGTGTGGAATATAGTGGAGTACCAACATGATGCAGAGCCGAGAGAATGGCTGTCTGCTCTAAGTTCATTACAGAACATTAGAAACCATGATCTCAAAGAGGAGAAGCTGGGGCCCAGTCTCATCACTGTACCTGGCAAAGATCTGAGGTTGTATACATCTATATTGATGGGATAGATTGGTTTTTACTTATGAAATGAGTAAGTACCTGGTTGGTTTGCTCATTGGTAACTGATGACTTCTGTGTAACACTCCTGGAAATTCAGAGGTGAGAATAGTAAAGAGCTTTCTTCCGTGGATAAAACCATAATAATTCTACCACCGCATGCTCTAGCTCATTTGGGTGACAGTTTTCACTGAAAGATAGAGCCATCAATGGAAAATGAGCCCATTTCAATTTAGAATATTGTATACTGGTAATTCAAAGTTTGTCCTAACTTTAAAAGCCCCTGTGCAACATGTCTTCATTTTCTTCTCTTTATTCATGATCCAAAATATTTTGGATGAAGATGGCTTTTGGACTATCTAGTTAAGTTGGAAATTATGTTATTAATCATGTCGTGTATGCTGGATGTTATGACTTTTTTCTGACTCAGTCATTTAAGAAACATTGTTTTCTGAGAATTTGTATGTGTGATGCAGTTTTAGGTGCATGAATAAACAAAAGTAAATTTTCAGCCTCCGGTTTCAGGATCAAATAGTCAAAGGTATAGGCACAGTAAAAAAAATATTCATATCCTACATAAAAGACCCTAATATGCAAATCGACCAAATGGCAGAATGACTGGTGGAACGACCAGTCTCTATGAGGTGCACTGACCACCAGGGGGCAGACACTCAATGCAGGAGCTCAGCCAGAAGCCGGGCTCACGGCTGGCGAGTGGAGCAGCGGTGGTACTAGCCTCTCCCACCTCCACTGCAGGCGGGCAGTAAGAAGTGAGGAGTCCCAGACTGCAAGAGCCCCAGACGGTGATAGGGTGCAGGCCAGGCTGAGGGAACCCCCCAACCCCTGGTGCATGAATTTTGTGCACTGGGCCTCTAGTATATGTATAAACATGCATGTATATTTACAAATATAAATATCTATGTATACATAATACATAGATAAATGGTTCTCAAATACATATATAAATGGTCCTCACGTTTCTCAATAAAATAATGTGTTGGATTTCATATGCTAAAGTATATTTCATATACATTAAATACAATGTATATAACACCAGAAAGTACAAAAAACAAAGACCTTTATTATTTCTACTCCTTACCTTGAATATCAACTTCATGGGTATTCTCCTCTCTCTTCTAGTTCAACCTTTTGTGAATCGGGATGTTCCGAGGAAGAGTGGGACTGGCTTGATTCCTGGAGCCATCTGATGTCCAGGTAAGGATGGCAGGAGAGTTTTAATAATATTGAATGAGAGAAAATGAATATTACAGTTATTTTGAATTTTATCAGGAGACTGGGAAAGAAGAAGTGGAGCAAGCATCCTTCATGTGAAGATGACATCTAACACCAATATGCAAAATCAACAACAGTGGCAAGAAGGATGTCTATGCCTAATGACACCCGGTTCCATCCTTCGTCATTCCTTCTGCTGGGCATCCCAGGGCTAGAGGACATGCATGTCTGGATTGGATTCCCCTTTCTCTTTGTGTATCTTGTTGCCCTCCTGGGGAATGCTGCTGTCCTGTTCGTGATCCGGACTGAGCATAGTCTCCATGAGCCCATGTACTACTTCCTGGCCATGTTGGACACCATCGACCTGGGCCTGTCCACAGCCACCATCCCCAAAATGCTGGGCATTTTCTGGCCTGTGCCAGCATCAAACTGAATATAATGTTTGGCCTTGGCAACATTTCTCTCTTATTATTGGATGTGCTCCTAATTATTCTCTCTTATGCCAGGATCCTCTATGCAGTCTTTTGCCTGCCTTCCTAGGAGGCTCGACTCAAAGCCCTCAACACCTGTGGATCCCATATTGGTGTTATCTTAGCCTTTTTCATACCTGCCTTTTTCTCTTTCTTGACACATCGCTTTGGCTATAATATTCCCCGATATGTCCATATTCTCTTAGCCAATCTCTATGTGGTTGTTCCTCCAGCCCTCAATCCTGTAATCTATGGGGTCCGGACCAAGCAGATTAGGGAGCGAGTTTTGAGGATTTTTTAAAAAGATGGTTAAAAATTGGTAGTCTTAGAATGTTTTATTGTTCATATTTTCTCTATATGCTCATTAGAAGGGGTTTAAAGGGAGGAAGCAAAGGCAAATAATCCTTTGAGTTTAAAGATAATAATGAATTTATTGATGATAATTTCATAATTTTAAGGTTCGCATCTTTTAGAAAGGTTTATGTTTATACTGATAATCAGATTGCCTTATAATGTAGTTATTATAGTCACAACTTTTCAAATGAAAACTTGATATATAGTTGTTATATATATGTAATTATATAATTGTTATATAATTCATCTGAAAATCCAGCTGTTAGTGGGAGGTAGATTATTAAATAGGGTCGTTTTTAAATTGGTCCACTTTCTGAATCACCAAAGAAAATATGAAAGTAGCAGAATGAAATTTGCTCAGGGTTGTAGGTAATTTTGGTGACAGAATTCCCAAACTAATAACAATTACATTATTTAACTCATTAGCATATACTGTTCTAAATAATTTGCTGACTTTAGCACATCTATTTCGTATGTGAATTCTATGATGTGGTTACTCTTAGTATTTGTATTTTCATATGAGTAAAGTGTGGATCAGAAGATCCTTCCTAACAAACTATTATCAAGATTTTGGCTCCTGGCACCTACAGAAAGAGAAGAAGGCATACATTTAGAAACAAATAAAGAGAGCAGGGAATAATTGTGCATAATTGTAAAATATATATTCATTAAATGAATATTAATGATAGATGAAAATACAGAATCCTATGTCACAAGAAACTTATGCTGTAGGATTGTATATTCATTTACATTTGGGAGGAACATTTTAGAAACTTTGTAATGATATTCAATAAATATTCCAAATACTGGGCCAATATATTGAAGATATCCACATAAAACTAGAAATATATTTGACTTGTTTTCACTTTCTAAAATACTCATATGGAAATTATTGACCTAATCAAAAAGGAATTGTTATTTGAAACTACATACAAGAGAGTCTGCCTAAGTTATGTTATCTCTTTTACTTCACCTAAAACTTCTTAGTTTTTCCATTTATGAGCATAGAACTTCTACTTCCTGACAAGAAAATATAGATATTGCTTTCTAAAAAATTAGCAATTGCCCTCTAAATCTTGTAGTTACAGATAGCAAAATATTGTAAATAGGACAGCATAGATATTTATATACGATATTTGCTTAAAATATCCATATACTTTAGTTATTATTTTTTTGTATTTAGAAAATCTAATAGACCAAAATTTAATAAACAGACATCAGACAAATTAATTAAGTCAAGCTAGCCAGTATAGTCAAAGACTTTTGACTCTAGATAAGGTAAGAAAGCTGTAATCATCAAAATAGGCAACAAAGGAGCTTAACTATTGGTCCCTTCAAAGCAAAAATAACATAATATTCAGATATAAGTGGATGTGAAAATTAATAACATTTTACAGCAACTTGAGACTTTGGATAAAATAATCACAGTAAGAAAAAATTGTCTGAAGACTTTTGAGGAAGAATATACAACTTGCAAATATGTGTTTTAGTAATCAAAGGATGAAAATAAAAAAAATATTTGTTTGGCATACTTAAGTTGGATATTACCTGTGCTTACTGACATTTCCAATTTTCTCTTTTTTAGAGGAACATGAGAGATTTATGTGTCCAGCCTCTTGCAGTTAGACTTGGCCATGGGACTTAAAGTATAAATAAAGTATTTGTAGAAGTAACCTGACTAGTGTCAATTCTGAGAGGAAATATTTAAGAGTGATGATGTGCTTCTTCATTTTCTTTCCTCTGTTCTTGTGTACCCGGAGGTGGCTCATTTGGTTGGAGCATTGTCCCAAACACCAAAATGTGGTGGGTTTGAGTCCCAGTTGGGGCACATACCTAGTTTGCAAGTTTAATCCCTGTTTGGGGAGAGTACAGTAGGCAACCCATCCATGTTTCTCTCATGTCAATGTTTCTCTCTTTCTCACTATTTCTCCCCCTTCCCCTCTTAAAATAAATAAATATATCTTCATTTGATAATAAAAAATTATATAGGTTTCAAGTATAAAATTCTATAATATATCATCTGTATATTGTATTGTGTGTTCATCATATTTAACCAAATATACCGTTAACAGAGAGAATAGGCAAGCCAAATGACTTGTATTACAGAATATTTAGGGACTCTTATAATTCTGTAAGAAAAAGGAACACCACACATAGAAGAATTAGCAGAGGATTTGTATGGAGACTTCACAAAGGAGGATATCCAAATTTCTAATGAACATGAAAAGCTGCTCTATTTTCTTAGAAGAGAAATACATTTAAAATCACTGAGCAATTCTACTTTGTACTGATCATAATGAATAAAATGAAAAATGTGAAGTAGTAGCCAATATGTTGGAGCAACTTGAATCTTCATATATTTCTGGTGAAAGGTAAATTGCTAAAATTATTTTAGAAAACTGTTTAGCAATATCTCAGAAAATAATCGTGTATATATATTCTATGATCAAAATTCTGCTTCTAAGAATATCCCAACAAAAGCATTGCATAAAGCCATCTGAAGATACCTCAATGATCACAGAAGCACTAGATGCAATAATCAATAACTGATACAACTCAAATGTACATTAGTAGTAGAATTTGTAAAGCAAGTGTGATATATTTAAACAGTAAAATACTGTGTAGCAATTAGAATGTACAAGTTATAAGTATAAACAACAAATAAGCCAGATAGAGAAAGATTACATCTACTCGGAGGTTAAAAAAAAGGAGTGGTAACACAAGAGCTGAATTGTCAAATCAGATTCACATAAATGAATACCAAGGGTTTCTCCTTATTGTTTATCCTTAGAGTCATTGTTTTCTGTGGGCCATCCAGGGAAGAAAGAAAAAATGGTTTTAGATCTGCTTTGCTTCCTAGTCTACTGGGTGTACCGGTTAATAATGCGGATTTTGTAATCAGAGAAAACAATACAACAAAACAGCATACATATCAAATCGCATATATATGTGTAACTCCATCTATTGAAAAAAATCTGCATTAGTAACTGGTACACCTGATACTGATCACTACTGACAACAAATAATCAATTTGAAGCATGCTTTGATTGTAAAGCGACCAGAATGGGTCAGAAGACACGGCAAAGTAATTTTGCTTCATAATAACACACCATCACACACTTCAAAACCAGTTAAAGACATGTTAAAAGATCTTGCCTGGGAAGTATTAACCCACCCCCTGTATTCACGAGGCCTTGCTCCTTCAGATTACCACTTGTTCCTATCGATGGCACAAGCACTTTCTGAGCAGCACTTTAAAACATACAAAGAAGTGGAAAATTGGGTCTCTGAATGGTTTGCCTCAAAACAAGAAAAGTTGTATTTGGACGGTATCCACAAATTACCTGAAAGATGGGGGAAATGTGTAGCTAGCGATGGACATTACTTTGAATAAAGCACTTTTGATGTTTCTCTTGGAATTACCATGTTTTATTTGATTACAAAATCTGCATTATTAACTGGTACACTTGGTATGGTGTTAAAAGTCAGGTAGTAGTAACTGGGTGCTGATATGAAGTGGCTTCTGAATTACTAGGAATATTCTGTTGTTGTTTTTTAATCTGTTTGGTGATGGTACTTAGTGAAAAAGTATTAACCTAAACTCAGCATCGTATGCATTTTCCTAGAAAGTCTGTTACACTTTAATAATAGTATATTAACATATATCTCAAAAGAAATGACAGAAATTTTAAAGTAATACCTAAAACATTTAGAAGACCACATGAAAGAAAATCTTTGTTTAATGCTAAGTATTCTTAATTATAACTCCAAAAACACTGTTCTTTTTCCCCCCTACTAAATTAGAAATTAAACTAATACATTATTTAAATAATTATTTAAATAACAAAACCAAACCAAATCAAGGCACTGTTGTTAAAAGAAAAAAAAGAAGGTGAGTTGGACTTTCTTAAAGTGCACTATTCAGGGAAGAAAAAGACAAAACACAGACTGGGTGAGAATATTTGCAAAACACATATGTGGTAAAAGACTTGTATCCAGAATACATAACAAATTCTCAAACTCAATAATAAGAAAATTTTAAAAATGGGCAGATTATTTGAACAGGCATGTCACCAAAGGAAATTATGCAGATGGCAAATAAACAGATAAGAAATTGCTCAGCATCAGTTGACTTCAGGGAAATGCAAACTACAAGCAATTAGAATGGTTTAGAAACAATGCCGAGAATGCCAATTTCTGGTGAGCATGTGGGCCCACTGATACTCTATACATAGGAAATATCTGTGCCCTCTAGCCAACAACCACCAGGAATACTACATTTGTAGTAAAGGAAAAGCAGGGTTTGTTACTTGATACAATAGGTGACATCACATGCAGTGAGGAAATATTAGGGGACTCAGAGTGTTCGAGAAAGGATTTGAGGATGAATCTGGGCTTGTTTTGGGGATGTTTCTCAGAAGCAGGTGATTTTTTTTAAAAAAAAGGCTAATTTATATATTGGGTATCTTCATAATATCTATAATAATAAAAGCATAATATGCTAATTAGACCAGATGTCCTTCTGGACGTTCTTCCAGACAACCTTCCAGATGAAGCCAGGGCTGCGAATCTTTATCCTTTCCATCCATAAAAGGGGAAGTGTCCTTAAGCTATTATGGAGTAAATGTTTTACAGAATATGATGTGAAATACAATGTTCCCTCACTTATGGGCAACATCAAACTGGAGATAAATTTACATAGCAAATATTTGTTCCTAGACTAAATATAAATTTTATTTTTAAATAAATAGATACCACTTATTTCTGTAATGGATATTAAAATCAGGGTTTGAAGGTAAAGATTATTGAAACTCATGTACAGTATTAGTAAACAGTCTCTTTATTTAGAATTCATCGATTATGATAGAGGAGTGCTATGTTGTCAAGAACTATCAGAATTTTAATGGGACTGACTAGACAATGCTGGGTGTGTGTTCTAGGAGCACT